GAGTGGTGGTACGATTTGTGATTGTTCAGAGGTATTCCATAATATTCAACCCTTATTTTATTCTCATGGCTTTCATTTGGATTATTTCTCGTCTTTGCTTGGTTTCATTCCTCTGCTATTAACAAGGGCACAATTGGTGGGCACTGAATTAATTACCTTGAAATTTGTGGTGCTAATCAAGGTGATAGCTTGGATCGCAATATTGATGAGGAAAATTGTAAGACAAAGGATTTCTTTATTCTTGTAAGTGATAGAATTTGAATATGATTGCAAATTCAATTACTGAACTTTTGCTTCGAGGCCTAGATATCCTGCATAATGCTGAATCTTTTGTCTGCAATGATAGCAAGACCTTTATCAGAATGTTTCTGTAATTGGATGCAAGACTTTGGTTTTTATAAAAGTCTCTTTTTCCACTTGCTTATTGAAATCTGACTGGCTTAAACATAGATTTTAAGCAAACTTACCTCATGTTGATTTATCAGGAGGATCATGAGGAGGCTCAAGAGGAACTTCCTAAGAATATAAAATTTTTCTTCAGTACTGCAGTTAAAAATTGGGATACTGACTTTTACGTCAAAGTTGATGATAATATTGACATTGACCTTGGTAGGACTTCTGCCCTTTTCATTTGTATAGAATACTGAATATCACTACTTTTTGGCTCTTGGCTTATTTATGTTTACTCACTGGAACTCTAATATATCATCTGGTCTTTTTCCTACTTGCAGAGGGGCTGATTGGACTTCTTAAACATCACTGTGGTCACAATTGTGCTTATATTGGATGCATGAAGTCAGGGGAAGTGGTTGCTGAAGAGTATGTATCTCCCGTATCTTAGTTTGTTATTTTCTGTTTACCTAAGATGAATCTAAACATACATGGATACACATATTTGCTATTACTTTATACATTTTCCCATATCTTTCAAAAGTTCATACCAAGTGCAATCCTCCCAAAAAAAATCCCTGTTATAGAAGCTAGAAGATGTTATTCATACTCAGTTATAAATATATTGATAATGCGAGTACATAAAATTATACCATGTACTTGTTTTTTTTTTTTCATAGCTGTCCCTTTGCTGATTGTAGCATGTCTGGACATTCTTGTTTATTTTTTTTGAACGTTTGATTATGTTTGCTTCTCCTCTAATGAAATCTGCGAGGATGTTCATTGTTTTAAAATGGTACTCTGAGCTTGAGTTGTTTACATTACATCCTAAGATTCCAAGTTCAGCTTTTGAGTACCTAAATTTTGTTGATTTCAGGGGAAGGCCTTGGTATGAACCTGACTGGTGGAAATTTGGGGATGAGAAATCGTAAGTTATCTAGCTTGTGGATGATTGCACTACCATATTTGGACTTTATGTGTTTTTCATACTATCCTCTTTTCTTTCCCTCTTTGTAGTTGCATAATTTGTTAAAAGCATGAACACTTAAAGTTCATCCATCTACTTTTTTAACTTTTTGGTTATTGTACCAGGGTCTGTTTGCGTGACATCTTCCTTCAAGGGGGGTCCTACCCTCTTTAATTTGGTAACCAGTTGCAATGCAATTTCTATATAAGATTTGTTATGTTCTTCTGTTCAGGTATTTTAGGCATGCCTCTGGTTCACTTCTTATACTCTCCAAAAATCTTGCTCCATATATCAACATAAACAAGTTAGTTGTTATTTGTTGATGCTATTAACTTTGAAAGCATGAGACACACATTCTACTTTGAGGTTCTGAAACTGAAAGGAAACTAAGGTGTCTTGACATTAGTGACTAATACAGTTTGGGTGTTATAAAAACTTGTAATCATTTCAGGTAGGGTAGTCCACCTGCTGAGTATTTATATGTCATAAACTGAATGGAGGATAAGCTAAATACATATCTGCTTTATGTGTCAATTATCAACTGCTTTCCATTGCATGCAAAGTTGAACATAGTCAATGATTCATTTTGAAAAGTTTGTGCTGTGAACTATTCCTTGCTTCCATTTAATGTGAATTAAGTTGCTTAAAATCTCCAAATGAATTCGAATTTTACCTCAGCTAGCTTATATTATATGCAGTGCATCTCTGAAGACTTATGTTCATGATGATATATCTGTGGGATCTTGGATGATGGGTGTCCAGGCAACTTATACAGATGACAATTGTCTTTGCTGCTGTAGCATTAGACAAGGTGAACTTGCCTCCATCCTATATTCTTGTTAAAACTTTATACGTCTTTTACATACATACATACATATATATATATATATATATCTTCTTTTTTTGAAGTAAATAAACTTTTCATTCATCAACCAGAAAAATCAGCATCTTTAAGTACAAGGTGTCAAATAATCTCTGGGCACTTCTCAATCCATTGCTTAGAGATCTGAGTATCTAACACATGTTTTGCTATTCCATGGGCTACTCCATTCCCACTTTTCCTTGCATGATTAACTCTGCACGAGGAAAAACCTGCTGCCAAGGCTTTAGCTTCTTCTATTATTGTGCCTATGGGGGACAGATCATGGTTTTGGGTGGCCCAATTTCTTGATGATGTACAGAGCATCCCCTTCCAGAATAATGTCAGTGAAACTCCTTTCCTTAGCAAAAGCTAATCCCTGAGAAGCTACCATTGCCTCGATGCAGAAAGCATCAGTTTTCCATGCAAGATCTCAATACATGCCCCTCTCACTTGGCCCACAGCATCCCTGACCACCACTCCAATTCCTCCAAGCCTCCTGTTTACATCAACCGCATCATCAAAATTCACTTTGAGCTGTCCCCATTCTGGTGGTTTCCATTTTTGTTGAGGCTATTCATTGCTACCCGTTCGCTTCTCCTGTGCCAGTGTATGTTCATGGAGATAGTTCCTTGCAAATGCTGCTGTCAGACCCGCCTCTCTTCGAGCTTCCCCATGAACCTCTCTATTTCTGTCTGTCCAGATAGCCCACATTGCAATCATAAATGGGTAAAATTTTGGAGAATCACTCTTTCCTGTCACGTGGAGTAACCATCCCATCGTGTTACTAAAATCCTCTGCTTCTCCATCCCAGTTAAACTTCAAATGTTTCCACACTTCTTTTGCACATGGACATTTAAGCACCGCGTGAAGGACGGATTCCTCTGCCACTCCACATCTCGTGCATGTGGCTCCATTAATTATTTGCTTTCTCTCCAGGTTTTGATGCACTGGAATTATTCCCCTGCTTACTTTCCGGACCAATATTTTGATCTTTGCTGGCACTTGTGCTGCCCAAATGTTCTGCCAGAGCTTCCTGCAAGCATTATCATTCTCGTTTCCTCCCTCCTCCTATCCATCCTCTTGTGCCATTCTTTATAGCAGCCTATAGCCACTTTTGACTGTATACTCCCCTTTATTATCAAAATGCCAGACCATTGCATCCTTGGAGCCAAGTTTACTTGAAGGCAGTGCACATATGGCAGCTGCTACCTCTGGTTGAAACATCTCCTGGATTAGTTCCCATTTCCAGCAGCGTGTATCCTCATCTATCAAAACCGAGACCAAGCTGTTCTCCAATAATCCCTTCAGTGATGTGATCATAAAGCCTTTGTTGTTGTCTTTCCAAATCTTCACAGTTTTCCCATCACCAATTCTCCATCGCAATCCTTGGTTGAGCAAAGCTTTTGTGGCCCATATACTCCTCCATGTCATGGACGGTTGATGCCCCAATTCAGCCTCCATGAAGGACACATTTGCAAAATGCCTTGCCTTTAATACCCTGTCGACCAATGTTCCTGTAATAGTTGCTATCCACCAACCTTGTTTTGCTAACATGGCTTTGTTAAAATCTCCCATTTCCTGAAAGCCCACTCCACTTTGAAGCTTGGATTTACTCATCTTCTAATTGAGCCGGTGAATCCCTTTCCTTATCGTTCTGCCACCAATATTTGTTAATAAGTCCATTAATCTCATAACACAATGATTTTGGGAGTAATACTCATTGCATAGGACAGAATAGCTTGAAGTATGGACTTAATTAAGACTTCTTTTGCCCCCTGTGACAGAGTTTGTTGTCCCCATCCCCTTTTTTTGCTTGGATCAGTGACTGCATTTCAGAAAAATAAATAGAAAAGTTAAAACACAAATCAATTTAATCATTTCTTCAGACAAAGGGTATGAGCTCTAGGACTTAGCAGTTGGTTCCTTTACCTGTTATGATCTTTAGGTGGCTATTATAAGCATACATTTCTGCATTTTTTTATTTTATTTTTGTGAAAGATGGTTTATGGTATTATTTATCAAATATACATTCAAGGTGCAGGGCACCTAGTGATTTAGCAATGCAGCTTGTATTAACAAATGAGTATCTTGTACCGTCTAAGTTTCTGATAAGGTGTGTTCCGTGGCTTGAGAAGGGAACATAGCTACCTTTTCATCAGTTTAAAAGCCACCAATTTGTGAATGTCTATTGCTTTTTGCAACATCATGTGGACATCTTTTAACTGGATACAGCAGCAGTGAGGGATTTTCTGGAGCGTCATTCTTTTTCTTTTTTTTTTTTTAATAGAAGTAGGATTTTTTTTAGAGGATGAACACAGGTTAATCTGCTATTGGTGCTAAGGAAAATCCTTGAGAAATGAAAGCCTTGAAAAATGCATCAGCAAAAAGAGAAAAAGAAAAGCCACTTTCGTCCATGCTATGCTTCTTGCAATAGGGAGAACGTTATGATTTTCTCCATATTCGGCATCATGTCTTAAAGCTAATTAATTAAATTTCGATTTTGAGTTATTTGCGTTAGAGCGTGAAAATTTTAGTACTCCTAGCATGTGCTTTTGAACACCAGTTGACTCGCCTTTTACAGATTGAAGTAGCAATATATTGCCATCATTAATACAGTTTGATCAAATCCAGAAAATTATGGCAACCGAATCGAGAAAACGTTAAAAATCTAAGATGCATTACTAAAATTACCAAGGCATGAATTTACAGCTACGATTTGCTTCAACATTATATAAATCGACACAGATGCACCCTTAGATGATCACAGACCTTGATCCTACAATGGCTTCTGCCACCAAGTCTTTTGTAAGAATTCTTCTTCTGAGTCTCGTTAGCCAAGGTAAGATACTTTGTTTTTTTGTAGACAATGCAAAGCATTTTCAGACAAGTTGACGCAAGCGGTTTTTTTTTTTTTTTTTTGGCGGCTCTAATTTTAAATACAGGAATTTGTCTTTGCACCTTGAACGACATCATTGTTGGGACCGTCAGAACTGGAAAAGAGATACAAGGTAAGCCTGAATGGAAGGTGACAGTTACCAACAACTGCAAATGCACTCAACACGAACTAAAGCTAGCTTGCAAGGGATTCCAGTCCGTCGAAACTGTGGATCCAAACATCCTTGAGAAGCAAGGTGACAATTGCCTTGTCATCAAAGGCAACGCTTTAAAAGGTTTCACTTCAGTTAGTTTCGCCTATGCTAGGGATCCTCCTTTTCTATTGTGGCCTTCTGGGTCCATTATTGAGGCCTGTTAGAAACAATTCTTCCTAGTTTGTAGTGATAAATTAATGCCCAAAAATAAGGCTCATTTATTATTGAAACCTATAAAAGGTTGAAAGCTTTATTCTCAATTTCAAGTTGGTTGCAAGCTCTGCAGAATCCCCAAAAATGGATGTCTTAACTTTGGATGAATAAGCAACTTTACTAACAAAAACAATCACAAATATAACAATGAAGTCACTCACTAAACGGATTTTAAAGTATGCATGACAAATACAACCACTTATTAAAACAGTATAAAGCTTAGCCAGTGTTATATCTGTTTTTGTTAATACTTCAAATTAATTAGACATGCAAATTGCCAACTGATAGGCCTTTTCATAAAATTTGCAACAGCCAGTCATTACTACCTCAAGAGTTAAAACATGTAAATTCCAAACTGCTTTGGCTCTCTTTCATCATATTTCTAACATCAGCAGTGTAATTTCCACCCCTCCTATTGAATTTAGTGCTCGTAGGATGATGATGAAAAAACATTATGATGGTTAAGATTCATAATTACTCTCCTATTTTGAATCTTAACCATTGGATTAAAATATCATCCTTATTCCTTTTCTTCTGTCTATTTCCATCTTCCCACCAAGCAAAACCTATCTTCCTTTCATCCCTCCATCTTACTCCTCAATCCTCACCCAACCCTTTTTTCCTAAAGAAACGTTAGACATTTTTTGGAAATTGCTAAGCCTCCGCTTGGAATCTTGGAAATAACTAGAGGCGTAAGCCAAGCATGCTTGGAAGAGAGCATTTTGAAGGTGGTGAAGCATAAATGTAATCCTCAACGGAATGAAGCAGAGCTTATACAATGACACTCTTAACTGTACACTAAGAAATATGAAACAGGTCTGGTTTCTAGAAATGTCAAAATCTTATCTACTCTATATTTTGGACAGACACCCTTAGTCCACAGCCCAAATCTGCCCATCCTAACTTCCCACTCCACCTCAGCAAGACAAAATAAAAAACAAGAAAAAAGATCCAAGCTCATTTTCGCTTTTTAGTGGGTGGCTGAAGTTCTTCCTCTTCCTCTTCTTCGCCCTCTTCTTCTTCCTCCTCCTCACCATCATCGTCATCGTCGTTGTCATCGTCATCATCGTCATCATCCTCCTCTCCACTGCCACCATCCCCATTGGCCTCGGGTTCATCCTCTGGATCCCCTTCATTTTTACCCTCTTCACCAGATCCATCTTCCTCCTCACCTCCATCTTCATCTTGATCATCTGCTGCTTCATCTTCCTCGTCATCATCATCATCCTCAGTGTCACAGGCATCCTTGTTGCCAGGACCAGGTTTACTCACCGCAAGAAGCCGAGCAAGTGGAAACCTGCAAAAGCAGATTGACCAAATTTCCCCATTCCACAGAAGAAGAACAAGAACAAGTTAGACAAAATAATTAGTGCAACTAACCCTGCATATGCTTCAGGCTCTTTGATGAAGACATCAATTCCATTAGGCAGAGTTCCCATCTGGAAAAAAACACCAAACTCATGCTGAGGAGAAAAATAGTGTTCTTCCAAGTGCAGTTTGTGAGCAATGTATAAAAAGTAAGCAGATAACACATCAAAGGACACAATTCTAGGAATCCAAAAAATGAAATTACCCATTGCCATATCACTTATAAATAAACTTTTGGACCAAATAACAAACAAACAAACATTCTTGCACCAAACACAAACAAATAACAATGAAGCTGTTCTTAAATCCTAAAAGTAGTGGCATGCTTTCACAAACTCACTATACCTTCTACACTCTTTCCTCTATAAACACCCTAATTAAGTTCTTCCTTAACATTCTACTATACTATATTATATGATAGGGGAGTTGCCAGAAAATATTTTTAGTTGGGTCATATTTCAACTTTCCTTATATGAACATGATATTATCTATAAATTATATTATTGAAAAAAATTATGTTAAATCTGAAAGTTTTAATTTTAAAAAACTATAAAATATATTATCTAGTTACTTTGTTTAAAAGTTAATATACATCAAGAAAAGAAATCAATAAGCAAATTAAATAAAAAATCAACCAAACAATATGCAATTTTGGATAAAACCAACATTTTATGCAACTTGAATCTAGAGACTTAAAGATTTGAGGGTTTACTTCTTACTATTACGACAAGATTTAGTTACAAATAAATAATATTTTCAAATAAGTAAAAGTAAAAAATTAATCTATGTGATAATATATTTGAAAATAAGCCACATTTCAAACTTTAATCAAATATTTTTTTTACTGGTCAAATTATATTGAATAAAAAATTTATAATCATATATAATATAAATATAAGACTTTTTAAGAAATTTTTTTACCCTCTTTCCTTTTTAAACTTTTACTAATTTTAGTGGGGTCAATATTAGTAAATTACACAAAAAAATTTTAAGACACTAATGCTAAATTAAGTTTATTTGAGAATTGAGTGGCTATTTTGTATGTTGCTACGCCAATGCTAGATGAGAATGAAAACATTATAGACAACCTACTAGGCAAAGTAACAAAATCCCTAGCCTCAAAAAAGACTATTAAAAACAAAAATTGCATTGAATCTGAAAATTTAAACTTCTAGTTTCTAGAACAATGCAATCAAATCATCACACAAAAGTTGTCAATAAATTCAAGGAAAATCATAAATCCTTATAAAGCAAAGACCACTCAAAACCATTGACCCAAAATAAAATATTGCAACTTTACAAATTTAAGGTAAATTGGAAAGAAAAAAAAGAAAGAGAATTATACCATCATAAGCAACCAAGAGACAGATTTTGTAGCAACAATGGCGGTCTCAACAACCATAGCTTGCAGTGCAAAGCCCACGAAACTGTCCAAGACGACAGCGTTCATGGGTAGACTTCCCATTTTCGTGACCTTTGACATATCGTAGACAGAGAGGAGCGAAAAATCTAGAGAGGAATAAAAGAAAGGAACCCCAATTGAAGAGATAAAATTAAAGATCGAATTATGTCTTTGAAATTTTGGTGGTTTATGTTAGGGTTTTGGAGATATCATTAGTATCAAGAACCAGAAGGACACGGCTTTAGAAAAGCGTTTGAGGTCAGAGATAAAGATGACGTTGGTCTTGGAGTTATGGATGACAGCTAGAATCAACACCGTTTGTCTTTGTTCATGGACACAATCATGATCTGTGCGCTTTTTTCATCAGGAAATGGGCACGATTGCCGTTGACATGTTTAAATGATTAGCTTTGACCTTAAGACTTTCGGACTATTACACTTTCCTCTTAAAAAATCATATATTCATTTTAGGTTATGCTTTAATTTATAAATAGAAAAATTATTAATTCAATATTTAAAATTTATAATTATTTTTTATTTTGTAGTTTAATCATTAGATTAAAAATTTTTACATCTTCACTATTTTTTAAGTCTTTCTATCAAGTAAAGGTTGATAACATTTAACCTATAATTTTTTATACTATATTATTATATTTATTCAATCACATTAAAAAATTATGTAGAGGCATGTCACTTATAAATATGAGTTCTATATAAAACTCTTATATTCTTAATACAATTCAAATTTGTGATTGATTAATTATATTATAATTATTGTAAAAGCATTAGTCCTATTAAGCTTTAGGCTTATGATCTAAATTTAATGATAGTTTTGACGTTGTAGTATGAAAGGTAGAAAGACCATAATAAGCCTTTAGTATCTTTCACCTTTTAAGGGTGTTTGGTTAATGGATTTTAGAATTCCCCTTAAAATTATTTTTTAATATAATTCTTATGTTTCATTTATTAATTTGATTCTTTGAGAATTTTAAGATTTTCAATATTGTTAAAAAACGAAAAACAATTTTGAATTACAAACTCACCTCTCTTTAAAGTTTTTTAAAATTTTTGATGAAATGCAAAATTATTTCATTTTTGTCCTAGATAAATGATTTTTATAGTCTATTCTACTCTTTAATATCAAAGAAATTGCACCATAAACTAAGACACAAACTGACATGCATAGAGTATTCCAAGTCTTATCCTTTGACATTAGCAATGACTATATTAGATTTCATTTTTCAAAAAATATAAAATTAATTCAGTTTTTATTTGTATTGAGTTTTTATTCGATAAGATTAAATTTGTATTTAGTTTGTACAATTGATTTGAGTTTATTTAACAAAAATATAATAATTGTTAATATATGTATATATTTTTTAAAAAATTGTAATTATTTGAAATTAAAATATATTTAATGAATTTAGGGATTATAGTTAAATTTTTGTTTTCAATTTATTAAAAAATTATATTTCAAAATTTTATAGTTTGAACAAAAACTACGTTATTTAGATAAAACTATAATCTATCTTGAAAATATAGAATTTTGAATAAAAAAAAATTTACTTTTCAAAATTCTATAATTTCAACAAAAACTGTATTTTTAAGATTAAAAATGTAATTTTTGTTGAAAATAAATTATGAAAAAATTATTTTCTCTTTGATTCTATATTTTCAACAAAGATTACATTTTTTAAAAATGTAATTTTTATTGAAAATATATTATGAAAAAATTGTAATTTTCTTTTGGTTTTATAGTTTCTACAAATACTGCATTTTTAAAATAAAAAACATAATCCTTATTAAAAATAGATTATGAAAAAAATAATTTTTTTTATAATTCTTTACTTTCAACAAAAATTGCATTTTAAGATAAAAAAATGTAATTCTTGTTAAAAATATATTATTAAAAAATAATTATTTTTCAAAAATTTTTACTTTCAACAAAAATTACTTTTTTAAAGATAAAAAGGTAGTCCTTAATATAAATATATTATGCAAAAAATTTAATTTTTTAGAATTCTTTATTCTCAACAAAGATTGCTTTTTTAAAATAAAAGCGTAATCCTTGTTGCTTTAAAATTTTATAATTTTAACAAAAATCATATTTTTAAAATAAAAATGTAGTCCTTGTTGCTACTTATAGCAAAATCAAAATAAAACCTAAAATATATTTACTTAATATTATTATATATAAAACCTAAAGGTCATGTATGGTGCATAAGATGATGGATATGATAAGATAATAATTATTTCATATCATATTTGGTTTTTATCTAAAGAAATGATAAGATTGTAATGATGATTAATCATTCTCACGGCATAAAATGATTTAATCCTCTCAAAGTGGAGATAATTATCTATAATCAATGGGATTGAATTTATATGTTCTATTGCACCCGTAAAAACTATATCAATAATTTAAATTATATAAATTTTGAGGAATAATAATTTTAAATAATAAATAAATTATCATAGCCTAATCTTTGCATACATTAAACATAAGATAAAATGAAATTATAATCTAATCATATTCATAATATTATCTTACCCTATTACAATCATATGCACCAAACATACCCAAAATAACTTTACTTAATATTATCTTATATCTTATATAAATATATAAAAGCCAAAGTCTTAGCAAAAAAAAAGAAAATGTCCAAAGTGGATGGCCTATATTATTGACATGTAGACAATATTAAAAAATTGTCATGCATAGTCTAATAAATGCATTTTAATAATAATAAAAAATTAAATTAAATAAATTTATTTTTTGTTATTCACCTTAAATCATTTTTAAATAAATTTATAGAGAAAGTAATAACAGTTTAATTGCATCATTAATATATAGAATAATTTTGTGTGAAACTTTTTTCAATTATAAATATTCAACACTAAATTACATTTGTGTTAAAAATATTCACTTTCTAATATTCAATTCTACTTTTTAAAATATAAATAGGTTTTCATTGTCAATTCACTGTTTTGCATTGATTATCCAACTAGTGAATGTAATTTTGGTATTTAATAAGGTAATTTATTAGCTTAAATAAATATATAAATAATTTAATCTCAAGAATTTAAATAAAAAAAAAAAAGCTTAGTTATTTTTTAACATATTTTTCGTTTCATCCTATATAGGTGTTTTTTTTGGGAATCTTCTTATAAATGATTACCATATAAAACATCTTAATTTAAGTTATAATTTACTCATGCTTAAAAGTTTTCAAAAGATACAAATAGACTTTTCATAATAAAAGCTAAAAACATGTTAATAATTAAATAATCCATTATAATTTATTTGCTTAAATTACTCCAAAATTTACAAAAATTTCCCTATTATAAATAGAGAACCCTTTTATACTAAGATTATTCAAAGGTTTACCAAAACCTTCCAAATACATTTCTTTAGTTGTGATTTGATAAATCTCTACCCAAAAGATTTCATTGAATCTCTTTTACGGCAACCAATGATTTTGATATTTAGCCTTTTTGTAGTTTGATTTAATTTTTAATAACTGTTAACAATAAAAATGTAAAACAAATAAAATTGTATTGATTTACTTTAGGTAATGTTTCTCTTTTGTTTACTTTTTTCAACCAACAGATTTTTTACTTTATCATACTGGGTAGTGCTTCTCTTTTATTTTTTTTGAAAGAAAATCGGATTCCATTCATTCATTTGCTGATATGCATTCTTCAATAATAACATTAGTTATAAATTCAAGACTTTCCTCAATCCAAAATCTATTGTTTATAGCACTTAAGCTATTATTTGCTAGCTAGTGAGCTGCCATTTTGCCGTTTCTTTGAATGTGCTTAATGAGACAATTTTGAAATTGTTTCTTCTTTGTCTTCGCTTCTTCTGTGATTACTCCAATTAGTGATAAGTTTGGCCCTGTTGCATTAAGGGTTTTAATTATTCTCAGAGCATCTCTTTCTAAGATTATCCTCATAAATCCCATATCATGTGCAAACGTAAGTGCTTGGATGGCTGATTGGGCTTCTGCATAAAAGGGGCCAGAATCTCACTTGTGCACTCTCGTATTACAATGCCTGCTCCCCCTCTCTTTTGTCTCATCTCTACTGCCCCATCAAAATTGACCTTGATAGTATCATTACTAAGTAGTGTCCATCTCACATGTCCATGCTGTAACACTATGTTTTTAACCTGTGCTGCATTAATCTCCATCATGTACTTCCTAATAAAATGTACCATTTCCTGCAAGTCTCTTTTTTCCCCCCATTCAAGACATTGTTTCTTTCATTCCATATAGCCCATGCAGTGATCATGCTGACTTTTAGTTGCTCTTTGTCAGCTGACGTGCATAGTCGCTCCACCATATTGCATGTCTATCATCACTATTGGGAGTCATCTGGTTTATGTTCAAAGAATTCCAAACTTGATTAGCGAGTGGGCATGTTCTAATAGCATGTATCACTATTTCTTCTGCTTCCCCACACATGAAACAATCTTGTTCACATCTAGTTTTCTATTATGTAAATTCGCCATTATCGGGATAAAACCATGGTAAATCTTCCATAACAGAGCTTTGATCTTGCTTGGAAGTTCTGCCGCCCACATTGCTTGCCATACCTTTGCATTGTTGTCCTTTATTATTGCTGGAAAAGTCCACTCCTCTTTCAAAACTGTGCTCAGCAATCTATAGCCACTCTTAACTGTGTAAGCTCCTTTGTTGTGGTGGTGCCACACTAATTGGTCCTGTGCACCCAACTTGCTTATTGGAAGAGAGCATATAACTTTCGCTTTTTCTTGTGAGAAAACTTCATAAATAAGCTCCCTCTTTCACTGCATGGCCGAGCGGTCTGAACTTCTCCACTAAACTATCTTTTTCAAGCATTACTCTTGGTGACTTCACATAAAAGGACCTCGTTGTTGATAGCCACTTATCTTTCCAAATTTGGATCGACTGCCCATTGCTGACTCTCCACCTTACACTTTTCTCCAGTATTTCATGGGCTTCCCATGTGGTTCTCCAATTGTAAGAAGGATTGTTTTCGGCTAAGTAGAGATTTAACTTAAAAGCTTATATATTAAACAGAGTCTTCTTATGGTTTGACTCTATAGGAGGAGTTTTAGTTTCGGCTGAGTATAGAGTTCTCCAACTTCAAGAGTTTTCGTCACAGAAATAGCTTGGGGGTGTATTAGTTGTTCTAGTAACTAGTGTTTTGTTTTCTTCTTCTGATTTAGTTTGAGTACGACTAGTGATGGAGAAGGAGCTTGAAGGGGCCTGGAACAATTTAAAGCTCACTGAAGAGGAAAGTGACAGGGTTGAGATAGGGAATGAAGTTGATACGATAGATGCAGAGGAAGAAGAGAAATGGTTAGTGGGTAAACTGTTAACTAAACGTCCTTTTAATAAAGAAGCCATGATAGGAACATTCAAGCTCATTTGAACAA